AAAAAAAAAAAGAAAACAAAAAAAAAAAAATTCCATGTATTTTACTAACATCAAGTTTCATGTTTTAATAACATAGTAAAACACCGAGATGACGCTATCCATACATGGATGGTTTGTTCATAATCCACCGATAATAGTAAGGATCTATTATCAAAGTAAAAGTTGTGACCAGGAAATTTTTAACCCAAATTCTGGTAAAACCAAATGATAAATGAAGAACATTATTGAATAGGCTATTTATAATTAGAACAAACATGTTACCAAATGTTTTTTTTTTTTTTAAAGAACATTCGACATCATATATAACGAACCTGATATTCTCCCCATCCGCCTGAAACAGGTCGGGCTTCGATCCAAGTTTCATGAACTTCATTTCATGAAGATTAAATTCTACTCACCTCTACAATATCAGTTATCAGCTGATTTTTCTGTCCAGCTTCAAATGCCCACTACGTAAACTTACAATTTTGCCTTTTTCCGGAAAAATAAATGCCCCAAGCTACACGATTATATGTTCGCCTCCAACCAGTGGTCTACGAGAAAGAGCCAATGAAATAGCACCAACTAATGGAGATCCTTAATGCACTTAAAAACACCACTTGCTCCCATGCTATTGCTTTATCCCCTAAGTAAAAGTATCAAGTTCCTACGGTTCTTTATATCGTGTAATTCGTTTCGCCAATGAAGTTGGAGAGACCTGTTAGAACGAAGCATAATATTCGAATGAGAGGATTTGAACCACCAAAAAAAGCCGACAAAGGGAATAAGATAAGATGGTTTCAGAAGATACAGAAAGCATTTTTGTTACACAGTATGAACAAAATATAGTGACCAACATACATATTTGTTCTCTCAAAAAAGAAGTGATGAAATTTTTACAAGAAAACTAATGGACTAACTGATACACCACATTACACAAGCTATCAGAATCTTGGTTTTCTTCTTTCAATTGTACACACTTTTTTCAATACAATAACACATCAAGTTCTCTCCCAAAATGCCCTTAACAGAAATTCATAATCACTAAATCAAGAACCCATTTATCATCAAAAAGAAAAAAAAAAACACCCCTGTTTTGGTGTGATTATTAAATTTAAGAGTGGGGGAAAACACACACAGACACACACACACACACACACACACACACAAACACACACACACACACACACAGAGAGACACTATGAAACACAAGATTCCAACAAAACCCACAAGAAGAAAAACACACACACACACAGAGACACTATGAAACACCAGATTCCAACAAAACCCACAAGAAGGAAAACACACACAAACACACACACACACACACACACACACACACAAAAAACACTGATCAGAAGGAGTAGAAAAAAGGGTATGAAACTTAAACCTGAAATTAAAAGGTGAATCAAGCCAACAGAAAATGCTCTACTCTATGAACAGAGCAGTTCCGATGCACTATCATACGCCAGAAGCTGAGAGGAACAATAAGAGAGAGAGACCACCAACAGCCATAAAGGGGA